AAAGTCCGTTCCTATGGCCCAGGCCTGCCCCGTGGTCTCCTCCAGGAAGCCAACCTTGCTTCGCCCCCAGCGAGCAGAACCTCCAAGTCTGTCTTGGAATCACGTCATTGGTGCCAAGCCCTGTGCACGTGATGTCCCTGAGAAGCCTCTGCTGAGTGAGTGGGGCTTACAGAGCCCAGATTTTGAATCCTGCCTTGCTGGGGGGCCCTGGCCAAGTGGGCTTCCACCTGGCTGAGCCCCGTTTGCCCAGGGACAGACGGGGTGAGGTGACACTTTCCGGGCTACGTGTGAAAAGCGCCCTGCCCGTTTCATTTCTGCGCGTCTGTAAACACCGGCCCTGCAGGGCTGGCAGCAAAGCTGGCAAAGCCAGGCTGCCTTTCACGAGCTCCCCGTGGGGCCCGATGCACCGTCCCTGCGGCTGGGTACGGGGCACCACGGCAGCAGTTTCCGGCACTGAACTCCACAGCGTGGGGCACTGAAGAGGCTGACCCGGGGTCTCGTGATGGAAGCTGCCCCAGCCATGGCGGAGACCAAGCCCCGTCCCGAGTCCAAAGGCCATGCGGGCCCTACAGGAGGGACCTACCAATGTCGGCCCTCGGCACCAGCAGGGAAGGGGCTCCAGGACTCCCGAGGCAGCCAGGATCCACAGACTCCAGTCCCTTCTATCCTGTGTCGTCCCACGCGCCTGTTCCTTTTTTAGAGAATTTTTAACTTTATTCGTGTGTCATCATTTTATTTTTTAAAGTTGACCAGAGACAGAGAGGGAAAGTGAGAAAGCAAGCTGCCAGGTCCAGAACTCGAACTGCGGTCAGCCACGTGTAAGTCCAGTTGCCTTAACCACCATGGCACCTGCTGGCCCCCAAACATGCTTTGTTTTAAAAAATAATTTTAAAATTTCTTTGTTACTATTATTATCTCTGACCAGAGACAGAGAGAAAGAGAAAGAAAGACAAGTTACCAAGTTGGGGACCCAAACTGCAGGCGTGGAGCCCAGCCGCCCTAACCACCGGCCACCTGCCGGCCCCTCCACGCCTGTCTTTAAACGAGGGGAACGCACTCGTAGGCCTCACCACTCCTCAGTGCACAGCCCTGCGGCCGGCCGGCCCCAGCCCTTCGTCTTCCCAAACTGGAGCTCGGTCCCGAGAAACACCCACTGCCTGTCCCGTTCTGAGGGGCAGTGCCCGCATGCACCCCGTGCTAGCAGGCGGCCGGCCAGCCCTCCTCTCTGAGACCGTCTGAAGTCCCTAGGCCTAGAGGTTAAGGGAGCCGGTTCCCTCGGGGCTGGCTAGTTCGGACCCTGGCCCTGGGGGTCTGAGAAACAGCAGGCACCTGTGTGCCCCAAATCCTGACAGCACGCAGGGGTGAAGTGTGGCCACACCCCACCGCGGGAGTGTGTGTATCCTTGGGCCGCAGGTGGTGTGGACTCCCATATGGCTGACTATGGCTCGAGTCCCAGACCTGGTGGCTTGCTTTCTCACTTTCTCTTTCTCACTCTGGTTAAATGAAAATAAATGAATAAAATTAAACATTTCTTAAAAAAAGTCAGTGTATGGATATGCGCTGTTCACCCACCAGCATGGCTTCTGTCCAAACGGTTACAGCAGGGGACCAGTAGATGGCGTGGTGGTTACGCCAGGCACGTGTGCGTGCATGCCCAAGATCCCGAGAGAGAATGGAGAAGGGATTGCGGCCTGGCCATGCCCGCGGGGACTGATTTCTCTGTCTCTCCAAGCGCATGCATCCTATAGCTAAAATCTCTCAAAAAAAAAAAAAAAACCAGAAAAAGAGACCAGCAGTTAGCATAATGGCTATGTCATGGGACTCCCATGTAGTCGACCGCGGTTCGTGTTCTGGACCCGGTGGCTTAAACTCACGCCAGGCGTGATCCTGAGAGGAGAATGGAGAAGGGACTGCAGTGTGGCCATTCCCCCTGGGGGGTGATTTTTTGCTTTCTGTCTGGCGAGCGCACGCGCCCTATGGCAAAAACCTCTCCAAACCAAACCAAACCAAACCAAACCAAACCGAAAGCAACAAGCATTGGGGAGACTGAGGCGGGAATTCCTGCAAGCCGCTGGTGGAATGGAGTCAGGTGGGAACGGAGCGGGAAGGCCACTGGCACCGGGACACCAGCCGGCTCCTCCAGAGGAGCGGAGAGCAGGGAGTCGGCCTCAGGGCACTCCCACACACCATGACATTCTTCTTCTGACTGCCAGAGGGGCACAGGCTCACCAAAGGAGAAAGCCCTCGGGATGGGGCATGGCCACACCTTGTCTTGACTTGGGGCACACACCAGTGTTTTTCAGGCCACCAGGGCTGGGATTTGATCCCGCTCCCTTAGCCATTGGGTTCACCACCAGGGTGCATGCTGGCCCTGGCTGCAGTTACTTGAAAGGAGAGATTTGGACACACACGCTCAGGGAGGAGGCAGCCCTGGGAAGACAGAGGCAGAGGCCGAGCAATGGGTCTGCAAGCCGAGGAACACCGGGGGGCCCGGGCAGATTCTCCCTGAAGGGTTAGAAGAATCAGCCGGGCCGGGTCCTCACTCTGGACTTCGGACCTCCAGTGCTGAGTCCATGGGTGTCTGCAGCTGGCCGGTAGCACCTGCCACTGCGGCCTGGAAAACCGATGCAAGTACCATGTTTCGTTCTTTTTTTGTGGAGGTTTTTGCTATAGGGTGCGTACGCTCACCAGAGAGAGACATAGAGACAGAAAGCGAGAAATCACCCCTGGGGGATGGCCACGCCGGGGCGAGTTTAAGCTACCGGGTCTGGGACTTGAACTGCAGTCAACTCCGTGGGAGTCCAGCAACACAGCCATTACTGCTGGCCCTGCAAATGCTCTTTCTACGTAAAGCGAAGGCGGGCTTAGGCCTGGCCAGTCTAACATGGGCGTTGGGGACCCGATGGCAGGCAGGCTCCTTTTCCCTACGGTCAACCAGTCAAGGCCCTGCTTCATATTTTAAAAAACAATCATTCCTTTACTGTGAAATGGAAGTTCCCACCGTACTGAGCTAGAACGTGGTGGCAGAACTTGCTTTTGTGTCATGCGACCTCAAGTTCGAGCGGATGCCCAAGCAGCCATGACCCTGAGCTGCTCTTCCTGCTGCTCGGCAGGGGGCCCCGCCGCCGGTTCCTAGACTCCAGCTTGTGCAGGGGAGACGGGGCCTGTGCAAGGGGGAACGTGTCACGCAGAACCCCATGTGCACCATGGAGATGGTGACCCGCCGGCCTGTCACAGGAAACGACTGTACCAGCCATCACAGCGGGACAAGCTCCCGAGGCATGTTCCCGGCCACGGGGACAGAGCACAGCCGGGCTGCCTTTAATGCTCCCTGCAGCTCCAGCTCCGAGCCGCCCGGTGTTTCCAGGTTGCTCATTAAAGACTGAACACCCCAGTGGGAACTGGGGGCTTTGGGAGAAACGGCAATTGTGTGGGGCCTGTGGGGGCCACCCCAGATAAGCAGGGAGGGGATGTGAAGTCTCACAAGGCCACACTGGTCCGTGTGGGGGGCCTCCCTGCCGCCCCTCACCTTCCCCTGCCTCCAAAGCGCCACCCTGGCTCCCCGCCAGCGTCAGTCCTGCCCACGCACCACTTCTGAAAACAAGCATAGCGCCTCCTGGAGGCTGGCAGGTGCGGCACAGGAGCGCTCCGGAGCAGGGTTGGCTGCGAGGAGCCTGTGTCTTCAGGGAAGCGGATGGCATGGCGATCCCAGGCGAGAGCACGCACGCACACCTGCATTTCCGGGTCAGCAGGTGGACCCGCGCTCTGAGCTGGGCCAGCCCCGCACACACTATCACCATGCACACCGGGGCACACGCGGCCGTGCCTGCAGCACCTCCTCACCACCAGTCCTGCAGGTGTGGGGTTGGGCTTGGCCCCACCCCAGTTCTTAAGGCAGCTCTGCCCAGACCCAGTCTCTGGGACCCTGGGCGAACGCCTTGGCTCCCGAGCCTCAGCCTGGTCATGGTCAGATGGAGACAGAGGCGCCCCACTTTCCGAGGCAGAGTGGAAATTCAATGATACGGGTGGGAGGCAGCGGTGGCTGGCACCGAGGTGGGGTCAGCACGTGGTCACACACTGCAGAGGCCCAGTGCCACCGCGACACGCATGGCACGCGCACACACGGCACACACGCAGGAGTGCGAACTGTCAGCTTTTATTAGTGGAAAATGGAATGCCTCGTTAACAGAAACCTCGTCTTAGGGCAGAACGAGAACACGTTTATTTAAAAAATAAAACCAAACCAGAGTGCGTTCACATTGTCGAGCTGACACGGCGGCAGGGTTTGTGAAGTGGGGGTACAGGTGGGGGTGGGGGTGCGCAGGGACTCCGCCGTCCCGGTCCTGGCCGGCCGCACCACCCCCTTCCAGCGTGCCACCTGGCACCACGTGGCCCTGGGCGTGTCCGCCTGTGAAGCCGCCTCGCCTGGGAACAAAGGCTGACGCTGGTCCCTGCTGGGCCCTGTGCCCCTCCCGGGGCCAGCGCGTGGGGGAGCACCCCCAGGGCGCCCGCTCGGTCTGCTTTATTCTGGGGAGGAGCACCCCGAGCACACGCCACTCTCCCGGGAACTGAAGAGCGTTATTGGCCTAAGTTGCAAGGAGCTGCTTTGTGGTTTGTTTCCAAAACCTCCTACCCAGCAAGCGGATCAGACATGCAAAAGCAGGGAGGGGTGAGGAGTGGGAGCACACCGGTCTCACCCTGGACCACAGGCCTTACCCCGCCACGCCACCCCGACTTGCCACGTGCCCCGGCCCCGAGGGCCCACACAGGCCCCTCTCGCCACCTGGAAGAGAAGGCAGTGTGCAAACACCTGTTCGGGGGGAAGGCCGGGGGTTTGGGGGCTGCCCCGCTCCTGCCTCGGGAGGCAGCTCCATACCTTGCCACCTGGCGTGCTCTCGGCCCGTCACGCCCGTGTCCACAGTGCCCTGCCAAGCGCGTGCCTGGTGCTCCTCCGGCCTCTGGCTGTGCTCTCCCCAGTCCCGGCTGCCCCTTTGGGAAAACAAAGGCAGACACAGCAGTCTGGGTATGGCACCGACCGGGCAAGGACTGGAAGTGACGTCTCCCCACAGGCAACAATGGCCCAGCCAGCACGCACGCTGCCACCCAGCCTCGGGAGATAGGCGCCAGCCAAGCCCACCCCAGGGAGTGCCAGTCAGAAAGACAGGCATGAGCCGAGTGCCGTGAGGACGTGGGGGGCTGGCACCGTGTGTGCTGCTGCAGGGTGGAGCCCAGCGTGGCTGCCGAGGGAGCCTGCACAGGCTCTTCTCCCCGCAGCCCCACTCTCCGCTGGAGCCTGCCCAAGGGAAACACCACACCCTGTCACGTGGGAGCGCATGAGGACGCTTGAGCAGCACCAGGCATGGCAGCAAGGAGGACGTGCCCGTGAGCAGCGCCACTGGGCAGGAGTGGGCACACCAGACATGGAGCCTCACGGCATGAACGGAAGGAGGCCCTGGCACAGGTCACAACGGGGTGTAACTCAAACACGCGTGCTCAGGGAATAATGCCAGGCATGGAGGTCATGTGGCTGTGACCCCATAACGTGAAACAGCCGGAATAGGGAGGTCTATGGGGAGGGGAGGGGCTCGTGCACGCAGGGGTGTGGGGCAGGGGCACAGCGGCTGAGAGGTGCAGGGATGCAAGCACTCCCAGGGCAACCACAGGGGTGGGCATTCAGCCCCGACCACGGAAAGCCACCAAACAGTACGAAACACGCTTCAGTAAAACTCCAGGCCTAAACTTTAAAAACCCAAACGGGGCTCTCGTGTCCTGGTTCCAGCAGCGGCTGGTGGCTGTCCTGGGAAGCTTCCAGACCAGCTGGGCCGGACAGAGCAGGGCAGGTGCTGGCCGTGAGCGGCAGGCCCGGCAGCTCAGGGCCGGCACTCGGAGTGCCAGAGCCCCGCCCCGTCTGCAGTGAGTGCCATGCTGCCCCGCGAGGAGCAGACACCCGATGCGCGAGACGCCTGTGAGGGCCACCCAGGGTGCTGCTATGGTGCACTTCTGAGGGCAGCTGTGCCCCGTAAGCCCTCAGGGATGCACAGCAGAGCAGCCACAGCCCCGGCGGGAGGACTGGGTGTGAGGAGGCTCCCGGGAGCGGACACTCTGTCGCCTGGCTGGACCTGCCACCGCCTGCTACCTGCAGCCCTGGCGGACGCTGCGTGTACCCGGGCGTACCCACCCTGGCTCCGAGCGGGCCCTGACGGTGTGCTGAAGTCCTGGGGGGGTGGGGGCGTTACCACGCCTGCTGTCCAGGTTCCACACAGAGATCCCCACCCGCATGGCTGGGCCCAGGGGCCTAGGGGCTCATCAGGGTCAGTTCGGGGCTTCAGAATCCCCGATTCAGACCGACCAGGGGTCAGAGGGAGACCTGGGAGGATGTGCCTGGAAGTGCCATGGGACGGATGGAGGGGCAGGGGTCCCTGCCACTGTGGGAGCAGGTGAAGGCCACGGGGCTGGCTCCCACAGGTGACCCCCGCCTTGCGGTGTGGGGGCCCTGCCTCACACCCTGGGGATGTGCATGGTGAAGGTGCTGACCTCTGACCAGGGGAGGGCAGAGGCCCTGCTGTGGCCTGACTACTGACCTGGGGGGAGGGAGCCCCCGGCCTTCGCTCATCCTCTTGTCGGAGCTGTAGCTGCCCCAGCCGTCGCGGGAGTCCCGGCCGTGGCGCTCTGGTCCTCCGTGGCTATGGCGGGGCTCTGGGGAGTGGTGGGACAGGGGGGGTGGG